GTAATAAGTTCAATAAATATTGTATACATGTAGTATTAAATAGTGAAACGTTTTCTAATCATGCAGACACAATGATTCAGTTACAAAATGATTGAAGTATCTAACCAGTACTGTTATGGAAGTAGAAGTGGTATACTAATTTTATTATTTCTTGTCTCGTGAAGTGAAAATATTCTTAATCGTGGAATAGTTATCCGGATAGGTGTATGGTTTGAATTTAAAAAATGTAATTTAACACCCGGAAAATAAGTTATTCCTTGCAACAACAAATTTTATCATATTGATGCAGTATCCAATAAATAAATTCATCCTCAGGCATGAAGACATTGTCAGAGTGGGCGAAGTTAATAATTTTGTCGCATCCATAGACTTGACAATTATGTGAAACGAATGACCAAAGTATGTGTTTAAAGATCCCAAATGAACGCAAATGCTTGTCTAGTCTTTGTGACAGATATATTGTTATCCCAACAGACGACGCTCCCAAGAGTTTGTTTGTAATATTACAATGAGTGCTTTATTAAATAACTGCTTAGTATCGAAAATAATTCTAATTCTACTTACAAATAAAAAAAAAAGATTGAAATGTGTGCTATGCACAAGTAATTCACAACATATACAAACAAATAGTTGATAACTTACCCAACTTGTATTGGATACCAAAATTCCATAAAGCATAATACAAGGCTAAGTGTATTGCTGGATGATGTAAATGTGACAACCAAGGAATTGTCTAAAACAATAACTATCAATATTATCAAATAGGGACTTTAGAATAATGTGATGTATTTTTTTTCTATAAGTTGTATAAATAAAGTGAGGATATTAAAACATCCCGATGAACTTGAAATCAAGATCACATTTGTGTGAAAGTGTTACCTTACATATCACTATACAACACTCTATAGACTTTTTCTGGTTTTGGGAGATATGTTTTCCAACAAAGTATTGGAATTCAAACGAGAGAACATTTTGCTCCATTGCTGGGCGATTTATTTTATTTATAGTGAAAATTAACTTCCAAATATTTTAGTACAAGGTAAAAAGAAGCTAAATTCTTTGATTTCACATTCAAGTATATTCTTGTTGTTGTAATAATGGTCGACACCAAGTTTATCGATTGTATTCCAATGATGTAGCTGAACTTGACATTAAGGAAACTACAAAATCTGCGTCTTCTGTAACTACTTAACAAGCTGTATGACAGATTTGAATTTACCATCACCAATGTTCTACTTCTCTACAAATTATTCCACTCTCTCCTTCTGATGGGACATATATTTGCAAGCACACTCTATGTGACCAGTACATAATTTATGCAGAGATTGTCCAAAGCACGACTTGACATTCAGTTTTTTGTTGACAAATAAAATCAACTGGTGGTTGATAACACAGCTGATTTCAAACTCAAAGTCTCGGGTTTCTTAGATAACCCACTATGAGAATGATTCACACACATCAATGATTAGACCATACACAACAATTTGAGGCAGTCGCAGTCTTTGGACATACACTTTGCCAATACAACCTTCAGTTCAAAAAAAAAAATAGAAATGAAATAACCATAATAAACCGATTATCATCCTCTTTCAATATAAGTTTTTATAGTGTTCGTCAGATTTACTGTTCACGAGAGTTTACAGTTGTATAATCTGATATTCGGTGTATCCCTTTAAAACTATAAGTAATATGAAGGAAGCCTTATTGGTTCTCTTTTTAGTATATTCTATATTTAGTTGATGCTTCTAAAACAATAATAACAATTACAGTCTTGTCTCGGTGAATGTAATGGTAGGTCAAGACGCATGGTCACGTCATGCATCGTGCCAATACAAATCAATTGTCGATTGTGATGAAATAATGGTATCTTAACGCAATATTAATATTCCTTAAATATCGGCATTTTGACATTAAACTATAAAAACAAAATTCAAAATCAAAATCAAATCGTTTGATTTTTGCGGCAGACGTTCGATTCGCGCTTTTGACGCAATACGCGAGATCTCGCAGTGAGTGGGAAATCGCGTATTATTTTTTATTTCTCATATACTGACGGCATGAACCCATAATAATATGAGAAGAAGATAACATTTATCTTCAATTTGGACAGAACGTCCCCAAACTCACGCACATTGTAATGCATTAAGTTTCAGGTATTTGAATGGTGCTTGTTTTTATCAAGAAGTTAAAAATTTAAAATTAAATGATTTTTGTTTATTTTATGATCGGTCATGATTATCGGTTATATAATACAATGTCCGTCAGTTTATTGTGAATGCGATTGCACGACATGGAAGTGGTAGTGGATAATCGTTGTCTAATTATTCAAAATAACCACAACCTCTGAAAATTCAATTTGAACGAAAACACATATCTTTCAGTGTTGTTGTTCGATACTCAAAGCGCTGTAATCGTCGCGCTGCGCATATTTGACATTCGTGTTGATAAACATTAATTTTCCCACAATCCAATGCACACTCTTCTAATGGAAATCACAAGTATGAGATTTGACCTGGACGCGACTTGCACTAATTACCGCCGGTGACTCCTTCGATACCTTCCAATCACCTAATAAATGCCTAATTAAAGCTTGGAATCGTTTCAGTTTCTGATCTGAGCAGCAATCAAAGTCGCCATCTTTGTGTATATGAGACCATATATCTCGCGCATGCGTGGCGCGACGACTACCGCCCTTTAATGCTGAATACTCAAATCGAATTACGATTTATCATGAACCAAACATACTTTATATGCACCTCAAACACCGCATGTACATTGATTGTACGTACGTACGTACACGCAATGCTTCTGCGTATTAGAAAATTCCATTGTTTCTACCTTATAATTCGGATGTGTACTACAAGAACGGTGTTTTCATTTGTCACACACACTATCAAACAACATTATTTAAAATGACATGTTCTCGTCCATATTGCATGTTCAATCGGTATATCTAATGGTGTATCTACATATTTATACCAAAGACGACGATTTCCAAATGCGACAGTTGTTTAATACTTTTTAATTACTTTCTTTCAAGTTTAGACAAATATCATGCTATACGCATTTTTCAAAGGAGACATTTGTTGACACCTGCGAGGATTCTAGGTCGTCCAAGAATTATGTATGGGGACAAAAACGTTACGATCCGGGGTCACGATATTACCTAATCTTTGTAAATTATTTTATCCGACCAGCGCTGCCTCACGGAACTGGCGAAGTCAGAGTAAATCCATCCGAGATGCTTCACTCTTGGATATTTGCTTACCTGAGTACGAAACATTGTCAATGCGACATTGTTATCTTGGTTACATGGCTGGTAATCTGCGGGAAAATACTCAAAATCCTCAGCGAATTTATGTACAGACAGTATAGTCTGTAGTGGCAAGACATCGACTGACATCCGATCAAAACAAACAACCAAAGCGTTGACGACAGCGACGTTCGATTTCGAACAGAAACAAACGCATTGTGGTTTCTCGTACTATGATTGGCTTATAAGTTGGCAACTATTCTCGGGGCGGAGTTACGTCACAAGACGTTCCACATTGCTAAGACGCGCACCATTGTACCATGCATTTCTATGGGCTCGGTTCGCACTGCTGTGGAACGCCGGTCGAGGAGCCGATGAAAATACTGTAAAATGACTAATTTTCACTGGGTTTAAATTTCACTGATTTACCATTTCAGGCATATTCAGTAGGTTTTAAATTCACGGTTTCGTCATTTAGATAATGTGTTCTATGCTAAATTGTACATATTCACTGTGTTTTAATTTAGCGCATTTTTCCAGTCAGCGAAATAAGCTAAATTAAAACCCAGTGAATAATTACCCCCTTTACAGTAGCTAAATTCGAGGAACCAAACAAACTCAACTTTGAAGTAATCCTGAACATAGACCTTAAAAGGTCTTTTAACGTCTATGTCCTGAACAACCAAATTTATATATGTTACACACGCAGGGGTAATCTTGTTACACTGTTCAGGAGAGTCTCAACAAGTACCGTTTTCTGAGAGTTTTCGGCCTTTGTTTCCACCGTGATGGTTTCCAGGCGGTGAAAATGCACGAATGTCCACCCCCGAGAATACCATGTCAGGCAGTGAGGAGAGGGTGTTTTCTTGTAGCAAGTAACGAGACCGAGACTGTATAGAATCGACGTAACGCGTAATATGGAACAGTTTGTAGTCGTTGAATAGTCATAGCAGTCGTTGTTTCGGCTGTTTCATGCAAATTCTTTAAGTTCAAGGCTAAAACACGACAGGATGCCCTGTGGACATCGTTGACGCTGCAGGTCGGCGTCTTCTACACCGTCTGTGCTGGACAGCGCTTCCTGTGACGACACAACGCTGTGGACATGTTATTCCTGTACTAGTAAACACGCGTGTTCGTTACAGGCGATCAGCGGAATGCCCATTACATATTCTATTGGGCATTTCGAATTAAAAAACAACAACATATTGTTGCATTAGTGTCAACTGATGTCATTTTGATAATAAGTTTAATAGTTTTCATCTTGTTTGTACATTGAACACGACCTCGAAATGCAGCTTTTGGCTCGAATATTTTTGAATCCGTTTGTACGTATAAATGAACGTTCCGTTGATCTCATGTATACAGCTACACTGATACATATAAATATAGGTCATAAAATTACCGTTGTGAGTTATAGATAAATAAATTGTTATTAATTTGAATTAAATAATTAATTGACCAAAAAAAAAAGATTAACATTGTACACCATGAAAATAAATAATATTGGACATCTAAGCAATTTGGCGGTAACTATATCTTACATAAAAAAACACGCTGTAAACAAGTCCACAAAATTGTCTGGCTAGTTCAATAGTAGTCAGAAATGTTTTTTTTTATCGTAATTAACCTTGACGAAAAAAAAAAAATCTGTACTTGTTTACGTATACTAGTAGTTTGTTAGAGGGCGATATAATGTTTACTTTCTTGAAGTTGACGCCTATGGCGCAATTTCCCTTGGAGGTTAAAGATGGCTGCCGATAAGAAACAAGAGAAAGTAGAAGGTAGCGCCACGCCCGAGTGTCCCGGCAGTGAGAGCAGCGATATCCCACTATCAGACGATGCAATAAAGGAAACTCTGTCTGGCCTCAGTTTTATTAGACCGTTGTTTTCGGAAGCTGTAGTCGGTAAGTTTTACTATCGCCGCCGATAGCGTCGACATGACAATGACAAAGGCGACAAAATCACCGAGTCACGTTTCTCTTGAAGCAATATACGCGATGTCGTGTTTTATCCACTTTCTTGCTGAAAGCTATTAATGTGCAAAGTAGAGTAAGAGATATACCTTCACGGATAAAGTAACAATTATGTTATACCGTTGTATCACACCTGTAACTGCACGATCGTGATTGGATGAGAGGTAGTTTTAATTTATGCAAACCGGTACCGATATTATCAAGGGGGGGGGGGGGAGTTGCATGACACGATTGGTTGAATTAATCGTCTCATTTGCATAAATTAATATTCATGAGCAATGTAAAATTGTGCCAAAATGCTTTCCGATAGCATACATGTTAGTTCTAAATTGACTGATTCTATCATTACGAGCTGAAAAAATATTCGGAAAAATGATGTAAAGGTATTTTTTGAGACACGTTTTCGATCAGACTCCAGCTAACTGTTGAAAGTAAGCACAGGTTTTCTCTTTACCATGATCATAGCAAGTTACGAAATTCATGGAGAATGTAGAGGCACGTTTAAATGTCACTCTAGTACTATTTCTCAAAATTGCTCAAAATGTTTTCGGTGACTTTTATCAGTGACAAGTTACCTAATTAGTATGCATTTCGAGAAACCACAGTGTGTGTGCATGCGCAGTTTGAAATGGAACAGTTTTGAACGCAATAAAATCACGCGTAGAACTTGGGCTCCAGCAAGAAATTGTGGCGTCAAACTGGTTGTCGGTTGAATTGTTTTGCAATAGACATAATTTTGGAGACATAGTTTTGTTGAGGATTATTTTGTAAAGAAATTGCTGAAATTATTTCATCTGTTCGTAAACGGGACGTTGTTGCTTTGACGATGGGCTACGGACGACTGACGTCGAAACGTTCCATTCAGATCGGATGGCGCCCTCTCGTGCCAATCCCCCCCTGGATATTATCATGGTTGATGTTCTAAAAACGGCCCCGAACATGAATACGTCAAATGCTAGCCTTTCAGCTGTAGTGTACTCCTGGAGTGTACTTGAACTTGTTTTCAGAATACTGTGGAATACTTTATTTTCGCTGGAATTAATTTTCGCTGAAAAGGCTTTTTGGGCATTTTGCTTGGAATTTATTTTCACTGATTTTTGATGAGTTTAATGTGAAATATAGGAAAAAAAGTATATTCGCTGGATTTTATTTCGGAATCATCCCTTCAGCGAAAATAGCGAAAATAAATTCCAAGCGAAAATAAAGTATTCCACAGTACTATTTTCGAGTTGCATGCAGATAGTAACATGTTCAAAGGTACTGTAAAATACTTTGTTTTTGGTTGGAATTTAATTTTGCTATTTTTGCTGAAGAGATGATTAATTTGAGCATTTTACAGTATACGGACTCCAGTCGTCAAATTCAACTTAATGGCCGACTGTAGTCGTCGTGCCATGCATGCACGAAATATATGGGTCTCATATAAACAAAGATGGCGACTTTGACTGTTGCGCAGATCAACGTTACCATGCTTTAATTAGGTCAATATTCATACTTGTGGTTTCCATTAAAAGAGCGCATTGGATTGTGGGAAAATCAATGTTTATCAACATTAATCAAGCGTGATGACCACCACCTTTTAAATTAGCACCAAGTGTACTACTACCAGTAAGGGATTACTCCTTTGAAAATTGAAGAGGGGGAGGGGGGGGGGGTAAATAGAAAGCAAAATAAAAAAATTGTAAGAGGACTGCTTCATGTCATCATGCCTGTTTACTCCTTTGAATTCCATAGTTTCTCCAATCAAATTTTGGTACCACATCTTTATGGGAAAAATTTCGCTTTGGCTACCAAAATATTCGAACAATGAAAAAAATATGTAGGTTTGTTGTGTGAAAAGTGACAGAAGAGGACTTTTGTGCTTGAAGGTCTCACAAAACATCAATTATTTACCTAAATCTAAAAAACCTGGTGTACATTTATAGTAAGCAACTAAAGATGGGGGGGGGGGGGGGGGGCAAGGGGGAATAACTGGTACAGGTTACAGGAAATTAAAAAGGCATTTTACGTTTTTATGGGAAATAAAATAAAATTAACATTTAGAGTAAAAATTAGGTTTTTACACTTTACAGATAAAGCAAATTCCTAATCACATTTTACATTTTTTTAATATAATTTTATAATTTGTGTTTAAGAATCAAAATTAGAAATTGCAAAAAATAAGATCTTTGTACAAATTACGGATGAATAAAATAGCATGTCTATGAATTTACGTTTTTTATTTATTTAACTTACATTATTGCAAAAATAAAAACAATTAATTACAGCTTACAATAATACCCCTTGCCGACCCTCAGTGGATAAAAAAAAAATACAAAAATAATCCAGTGTACAATATATGCAATTTTTGTCTTATTTGCATTTCTGTGTATTTGAGATACATTCTAATAAGGCAAATATGGAATATGGTGTGGTGCTACGTCAATTTATAACTTTGCCATAGTTCAAACAATCGTTGTTATTACTTAGCCTCACAGAATAACCTTTTTCTCTGTCTCTCTGTTAGGTTACATATTTTGGACTGTGCTACATGCACTTATCCCTGCACTATGGTTCTTTCCAAGAGACAAATACCCTGGCTGTGAAGCTGTGGTTGCCGTCTGGATCTTAACGCCACTGCTTTGCAGCATCGGACCATTGTTTAGATTCTTACAAACAAAATATGGATTGTTTTTATTACGACTTGGACTTGTATGCAGCTTAGCATCGTTTCAATGCTCTGATATCGTATTAAGACTTGTTGTCCTCACTGCGGGTAACATGTGTGCAGTTTTATTATTATGTGCATCCTGGTTCAGTACATCAGCCTATCAAAGGTGGGTTTTATTTCTTCCTTATGTAACAATCTATTTATTCATGTTTTAGATGAATTATTAATTTAGATTCAACATTGTTAAATTCTGATAATTTAAACATGTCCAGGACTGTTCAGGGCGGTTTTATTCAAACTTTATATCTCAGTCAAGCATATTGAGTTACAGGTGCATGTCATAATGAAAAAGTCAGACTGATGGATATTTTGTCTATGTTCAAATCCATGGTATCTGCTCACTGATTCAGTTCAAAGTTTGCACATAAGTATTATAATCATTGATAATATCGTTTGTTGCATTATTTTGTGTGACTTGGTCATATTTGTCAAAATGATGGCCATTTTGTCTGAAATCCTAAAATTGCAGTCTGTAAAACTGTTTCTCTGATATGGCTGCATCTAACCTTAGTGATTTAACCAAATATGCACATACATTGCCAGCAATGATTGATAGCATCCCAGCAGCACTTTTTAGCCTAATGTACACCGGGGGGATTGTGTAAACCCCATATTTTGCTTCCCAGTTTCCAATTATTGAAGAGGGATCCAGTTTTTCAGGCAAGCTACCGGTAGTAAAGGAATTTGGCATTAAATATAAAAGAGGGAGTATATGCATTGTCAGTACTTGTTTTACACTATAGTATTATACCATAATACTGGAACATGATGGTTATTATTACAAGAATACCATAATCAATTGATGCAAAACCTTAGTTACTGTCTCAGGAATTACTTTGCAGTGTTCTTGTAGTAACCTTATTATTATACATCTTTTTAATACTCACTTGATATAATCAGAATACAAAGTGCTGAATAAAAAACATCTTTAATACTTGATGTATGTTTTTGGTTACAGGAGTGTGTCATTCTGGGGTTTTATGTTAGGATATATGGCATTATTATCAAGTCGTATCTGGTATGTATCATTAACACCTGCATGGGCGGACCATACTAGTAATACAGTTATTATATCTCTTGGTATTATTGCAATAATAGACAGGTTGTCTGCTTGTAAGTATGGCTATGTTATTCTTGTATCGAATGGGTTTCCAAGGAGCGAGATACGTTTGCTGTGATATAACTGGTTATGTTATTTCACTGGTGCATCATTGATACAACAAAAAATCATACATTGATGATCTGGAAAAACATCTTACAGAGTTTGCGCTAGTGTCTCAGCAAGACGAGTCCCACTTAATAGAAATTTTAACCTGAATAACTTTATTAGTGATTGGATCCCAGCTTGCCTGAAAAACTGGGTCCCTCTTCAATAATTGGAGTCTGGGAAGCAAAATATGGGGTTAACGCAATCCCTGTCTTAGTTGTGGAATTTGGTTAAATGTAATTCATATTTTATAAAC